TGACTGAATCCAGGCATTGGGTACTGCCATTACAGACATCTTACCCTTGTTCCTGCTCTGGGCCCTTCTGTTTGCTCTATTAATTAACCTCCTTCCAGGTCAGGATCACTTCATCATCAGTTATTGACTACATGTGGATAGTCTAGAAACGAGAATTCTTCTTTCCTTATAACATTAACCAGCATCTCAAGGAAGCTCTCGATTGCTCTGACCCTGCATCCTCCCTTCATCCTTGCACCAATCACTGCCTTCACCAAATGAGGCATCCTGTAGATCAACCAAGAAGGAGGAAAGGGAAGGAGGGAGAAAAAAAGAAAAATACATGCACAGAAGGAGGTACGTGTGTAAATAAAAGAATGAATAAGTTTAGTCTCCCTTAGCCCAGAAGGTTCCAAAAGATTTTCATCTTCAATGCTATTCCAAGACTTAGCTTCCAAAATAAGAAGTGAGTAGATCTCTGTCCTCCTCCTGAAGTTATGCTCTTTATTTTTGCCTTCTTATTTTATTGTTTTTTCCTTTTTCAACAGGATAAGGCCTTTGTAGATGATGTCATTTGGCAGAAACTTTCCTCTTCACTGTATTTGGTGATAATTATCATCACCATGTGACAAAGACATCATTCCAATAAACCTACATCCATACTTAAAACCATAAATTAGCCAGTGGATACAATGGAGTGTCTCCCACTGCACACTGATAATTTCTCAGAGACTCAGAAGTGATGGGAGTCCTCTGTGGCCCTTTCTTACACTGTAGTATATCCCTGCCCTCCTGCAAATAAAGTTTCCATTGACTACAAGCATGGCTATACTTCATTACAAGGTCAAACATCTAGGACTCCAGAAACTTCTCAACTGGTTGAACAAGAATGAGCATCACAACTTCTGAGGGCTCCATGGGGATCAAGGCTCAAATGAACAAAGATGTAAATAAAAAAATTTAAAGAGGATCTGCTATGAGAAATGAGAAAAACTCAAGAAATGTCTTCGGAGAACTAGAGTCTGAAAGATTGCGTTCAGAGCATTCTGCATCATTCAGTCTTGTGTTGGTCCGAAGACTCCTTCCTACCCAAAGGGGAGAGGGAGGGAGGGAGAGAGACAGACAGACAGACAGACAGACACAGAGACAGAGAGGCTTACAGAGAGAGACAGAGAGACAGAGAAGACTGGGAACTGTACCACAGACGATGGTGCCAGCTGTGGTGTCCTGAGCCGGAAGCCCGCACTGCACTACTATAGAGTCTCCTCTTTGGATTCCCCCTTCTCACTAGCATTTCTGTTTTACTTCTTGACCCAGGGACAGCACAGTAAGGACTGGGTACTCAATGATTCCTTTCCTAGCACACCATCATCAGACAGCCTTTCGTTTATTGGCCCACCCCCTCCCCTCCTTTCCCCTTTCTCTCTCAGCCTATGAGCACTAGAGCTAGGAGCTACTGAAGAGTGATAAACCGTCAGTCCATATGCATTCTTGACAAACAGGATTTCCTCATCCTGTGTGGACATGCGGCACCGACTTCCTCCTGTTTCCTTTCATTTTCCTCCCACTTAACACAAGTGCCTTGATTTCTTTCCCTGTCACCGCGATACAATCCTCTGACGAAAGCAAATTAAGGGAGGAAAAGGTTTATCTCTGCTCTGAGATGACAGGTGCGGTCCCTCATTGTCAGAAGTCACAGCGTCAGGAGCCTCAGGTAGTTTAGTCACACAATGAAGAACAAAGAAGCAGAGGACAACAGAGGAACGCATACTTGGCTCCCTGTCTCCATTTCACACAGTCTAGGACCCTAGCCCAGGGAATAGTGCCACCCATTCAGGTGTGCCCTATTATCTCAACTCATGCAATCAAGATAACACACCATGGGCATACCAAGAGGCCATCTCCCAGGTGACTCTAGATCCTGTCAAGTTGACAGTTAACACCAATCCTCACAATAGGGTTTGGGTTTTATGCACACTCCTTCAAACTAATGCATGGCATTTGGTGGTCATCCTCTGTGACATCTCACAATGACATGAGACAATCATGAGTCTCTATCCTCATGACCACATACAGCCCTGGGACAGATGTCTTCAGAATCCTGGGGGACCTGAGGAAGAGCTTCTCTTGGCTCTCTTAGTGGTCCAGCTGCACCAGGGATTGGTCTTTATCTGACTCTCTTCTTGACCAATCTGTGGCACGGTTATAACCGTACTGTTATAACCAAGGTTACAGCATGATGCAAATGGGGAATACAAAGCTCAAAGAGGTGAAGTGACAGCATCCATCCATCCACCTAGTTACTGTTGACTGGTATGAATGTGCTGGGAGGCTGCATATGTGCTTGAAGCCTGGTCTTCAACGGAGTGATGCTGAGCTGTGGTGGGCTCAAAGAAGTGGAGCTTAGAGAGACCTCAAGATGGTCTCTTCTCCTCATTCTGGCTTCTTGCCTGTCGGGTGATCTCTCCTTCTCAAAAGCACTCCATTACTCTGATGCCTGGTACCATGGGTGATGCAGCCAGGAGCCCTCACTAGAACTGATGCTAAGCTGTCTGCATTCCTCTAAGACTGGCTTAAAGAAAATTCTTTTCTTGATAAATACCCAGCCTCGGGAATTTCATTATAGGAAGAGACAACAAATGACCCCAGTAATTGACTGGTGGAGTCAGAGTTCAGAGCCATGTTTCCCTGATTCCCAGGCTTGCAACTTTGCCCTGTATCATGCTACCATTCAGTGATCTTATTCTTCAATGGCCTGGAGCAGAGACAGCAAGGACATCATTAAGGATCCTTTTCATAGGGAGACCAGAGAGTAATTCCTTCCTTTCCCTAGGCATCCATTCCTTCAGAGTCTTTATGCAGGCAGTGGAGAGCAGATACCAGGCCCAAGGCCGTTGTATTAATCAGAGGGGAGAGCGAGCCCCATTGGCTGGGGGCCAGGCAAGCTTAGCCCCCCCATCCTTGCAGCAAGCAGATTAGCACCTGCCATCTGGCAACCAGAGGCTCCCCATGCAAGCTGCAGCCCCCACCCCAGGAATCACTAGTCTGTCCTGCACCAGCCAGATCCAATGAAAGTTTGATGGCTCTATTAATGAAGATGAAAACTCAAGATACGCCAAACAGAGATTAAATGGCATCTTGGTAACATGATTATCTCCGAATTACTAGCTGCATAGTGAACCAGCCAAGTAACTAATCCTGGGGAAGGCTGGGTGCTTTGGATAGCAATGGATGGTGTTTGCTCTCTCAGAGTCGAATTTTACTGAATTGAACACCCAGGAGTGACTTCCTCGGTCCTAGAAGTCACTCAGCTTCACAGATTTAATTTCTTCTAGTTCTCGGGTTCAAAATTCAAAATAATCCAAAATAATGTGAAGAGAGAGTGTGTGGGGTGGGGGGGGGGTGATGAGGAATAGACACAAGACTCTGGCAACTGTTTTTATCTGAGGACTCTTGACAAAAATCAGCAGAAAGCAAAGGATGAGAGACACAAGAGCAAAAATCTAAAGTCTATAGTTACGCCACTATTCAGTGCACTACTACTTAACAGGCATGTATAGGTGTGTGCTTAGTATTTGTCGTGTGCCTGTGCATTTGTGTGGGAGGGTACAAGTGTGTATACAGAGTTCAGAAATCAAACTCCAGAGCTTGATCATCCCTCAACTTTCCACCTCATGGGAATGTCTGTGGATTCTGTGCATCCCATCTCACTGTAGAGATGATGCTCGTGCAGAGTACTATTGTGTCAAGCTGTTAGCAGGGCTGTGGGAATCCCAGCACAGGTCAACAGGACTGTGTGAGAATACTTTTACCCACTCAGCCATCCCCCTCATCCCCAAACTAAGGCTTGGGCTTTAATACATCAGTGTATACCATTTTGTAAACAGTATTGCCACTGTCCTGAGCAAGTTCAGGCATGGGCTAGCAACACAGCTCAGCAGGTAAAGAAAGACTCTTGCAGAGCTTGGGGGAGCGGGAGATCCCAGCTGGATCAACAACAGAGAGGGAGAACAAGGAATAGGAGACCATGGTAAATGAAGACCACATGAGAACAGGAAGAAGCAAAGTGCTAGAGAGGCCCACAGAAATCCACAAAGATACCCACACAACAGACTGCTGGCAATGGTCGAGAGACAGCCCGAACTGACCTACTCTGGTGATGGGATGGCCAAACACCCTAATTGTTGTGCTAGAAACCTCATCCAACTACTGAGGGATCTGGATGCAGAGATCCATGACTAGGCCCTGGGTGGATCTCTGGGAGTCCAATCAACGAGAATGAGGAGGGTTTATATGAGCGAGAATTGTTGAGACCAAGGTTGGATAAAGCACAGGGACAAATAGCCAAATGAATGGAAACACATGAACTATGAACCAATGGCTGAGGGGTCCACACTGGATCAGGCCCTCCGAATGGGTGAGACAGTTGATTGGCTTGATCTGTTTGGGAGGCATCCAGGCAGTGGGACCAGATCTTGTACTCATTGCATGAGTTGGCTGTTTGAAACCTGGGGCCTATGCAGGATTGTTTGGCTTGGCCTGGGAGGAGGGTACTAGACCTACCTGGACTGAGTCTACCAGGTTGACCTCAGTCTGTGGGGAAGGCTTTACCCTGGAGGAGATGGGAATGGGGGGGGGGGGGCGTTGGGGGGAAGGTGAGGGGGACGGGAGGGGGGAGAACAAGGGAATCCGTGACTGATATGTAGAACTGAATTGTATTGCAAAATAAATTAAAATAAATTAAAAAAAAAAAAAAAAGAAAGACTCTTGCAGTGGAGCCTGAAGACTAAGGACCCACATGGCAGAAGGAGACAATGTCTCCTGAAAGTTGCCCCCGACCTCAGTGTGGTATACATGCATACACACACACACACACACACACACACACACACACACACACACACACACTATATATATATATATATATATATATATATATATATATATATATATATATATATATATATATAATTTAAAGAAAGTTCAGGCTTAAGTGTGCTAGTAAGTTCTCTGAGGTCAAACATCCAGTAGAGGCCAAGCTAAGGACCAACTCCAGGTCTTCCCATTTTCCAATGTCAATGAGGGCTTAAGGAAATGCCATGTTTTTGAATTAGGTTGAAGGCAGCTACAAAGATGTTTGGGAAAATTCCAAGGATTAGCTCCTAAATGGAAAACCAGCCCCCAAAAGGAAAATTTTGACAATTTCCTTTTCTTTCAGATAGAAAATGGGATTTGTCAAATGATAATAGTGCTGGAGTTAGGGTTGTTAGTGAGTGTCTGTAATTATTAATTATTTGGTGGGTAAAATGTTTGTAGTATAGTTGGAGCTGTGTAGGACAGACTTTACTTGGCAACTGTGGAATGGAGCAGGGAAACACTGGAGCCACATTTAGCACCTGAATCTCTGGCTGCCTTATATAATTTAATCACATGAGGCCAAGGATTTGGTAGCGTGCACACATGGTTAAAAAGAAAAGAAAAGAAAAGAAAAGAAAAGAAAAGAAAAGAAAAGAAAAGAAAAGAAAAGAAGCAGAGTGATATATATATATAGATATAGATATAGATATATATGTCAACAGTTCTCAACCTGTGGGTCATGACACCTTTGGAAGTCAAATGATCATTTCACAGGGTTGCATAACAGACATCCTGCATATCAGATATTTATATTACAATTCATAACAGTAACAAAATTACAGTTGTGAAGTAGCAACAAAATTAATTTTATAGTTGAGGTCACCACAAATAAGGAACTGTATTAAAAGGTCACAGCACTAAGAAGGTTGAGACCCCCTAATCTAAGCACTTGGTGAGGGCGCCCACACACCCTGCTTTCTCTTGAAGTACATTTCCGCCTATGAGACAAGTGAGCAAATGTGGTATTGGGACTTCCGCCATGAGGTCTCTACCTGCTCCAATTAGCTGCGTCACTGGGCTGTTTTCAGCTCACACCAATGGCAGCTTTGTCAGTAAGGGTCTTAAAACCCCTTTCTGGATCAGCTGATGAGATCCCATTCTTCCATTCTCCTAGTTAGCCGTATATTATCATCGCAAGACTTGCAAACAATCGCTAAATCCACTGTCCTTCTGGATCCCTTCCTTCCCTTCTGTGACGTTTCCATGAATCTCGCAGTCTTTTGCCTTCTCACCGGGTGTCTATAAAGGACAGAAAATCATTATGCAGCTTTTAGAAGCTGTATGGAAAGATGAATAGCCTTCCGTTTTGTTTTCCTCTTTCCAGAATATTCTTGCATTTTACATTTTGCTATGCATTTTTGTGCCCAGCTTTGGTATCAATTGTTATTGGCCATTTGCCAGTTTGAAATGCCCTACAAAATGAATTGCTTGTTTTTTAAGTAAGGAAAGAAGGAAGGGAGGGAGGGTGGGAGGGAGGGAGGGAGGAAGGGAGGAAGGAAGAAGAGAGAGGAAAAAGGAAAAAAAAGAACCTTGGTAAGTTTGCAAACTACTGCTTCAAAGCTCTGCTCTGGGTCACAGCTGTCTGGGAGCACTTGGCGCAGGGTGACCACGTGGCAAGTTTACTGTCTGGGCAGTTTGTTTCAATCACTCTCCCGGTCATACTTGATGCCTCCTCTTCTTGCAGCCATGGCTTAGAGAATCACAAACATTCTCTCAGGAAAGAATCACACATTTCCTGGTCAGAACAGCCTTCCTTTTGGGACAAAATTTTCCAACACTACCAGCCGGACTGAAATCAGGACAAATGTTTGGTCACTGAGATCATGGCTGGGCGTTAAAGAAGACAACGTATCATCTAAACGAATGAGTCTACCCATTTTGTGTACTTCTTCTCTTACCCTTTTACTTTGAGCCCTCCATCTATTTCTATTACAATTGAAATGTCAACCTCTCCTAAAATAAATAAACAAACAAATAAATATTTTTTAAATAAAAAAAAAACCCTATTCTGGCAAGTCACCCACTGCTCAGCCATGCTGTCTCCACACTTTGACTCCCACCCTGCATTTCTCAGAAGGACCCTCAAGATGGAGCATGGGGACAAACACTGAGTTTGTAAGCTCATTATCCAGCTAGGGGTTAGTAGAACCTCAATAATTCCTTGCAAGAGAATTGACTGACAGAATATAATCACATACTCACACTCACACTCATTCTCACTCACACACACACACAGAGTCACACATGCATACTCACACACACATTTGTGAGTTCTAGAGACTCAGAAATTACGATGTCAGCATACTGTGGATAGACTTCCAAAGCTCACGTCCTAAAAGGGAGATTGCTTGCTGGTTTTGCCCAGTGAAGCCAATTCTATGTGCTCCTGCACAGTACCTCACTATCTATGCATTACCTTTTCCTTAACATGTTTCTTTCCAATACGTGGTTCTCCTTAATCACGTATCTTAATATAATCTCAAAATTAGGAGAATAAAATGCAGATAAACAAACTTACTAAATGATGAAATGCTTAAGGAAGGCTTAGATAGATTTTCTACACTTCTATTCCTGATATAGATTCTGTTCTGTTTGGTTTCTTTAGTAATTTTACTTCAAAAAATTAGTGGGCATAAAATATATGCCAAAATCCTAAGGCAGGAGATTGCTAGTAGATGCGAGCAGGAGGCATCCAGAATGGGAATTTCTATCATTTGAATTCCATCATTGAAAATGCAATCAGTTTGATACTTCAGAGGAAAAAGGACTCAGATAGATCTAAAGCTACCATTAAAACCAACTCACAAGCCACCAATAATGACGGGAACCAAACTAATCAATGAAGGAGATAAAAGCATCAAGCCTTGTTCGTTTTGAGGCTCTCTCCCACCAGCTCTTGAATGTAATGTCCTCTCAGAAACATCAGTTTAAATGGCCATCTCCATTCAGAGGAAAATGATCTCAGCTCTCCTCAGCTGTGTGGAAAGCAGCAGTAAGAGCCACTCAGAGCTGCTGAGGGAAACAATGCAAATGCTCTGAAGCATGCTTGGTCAAGTCACAGCCGAGGACTGAACACAGTGTGGAGAGGAGCCGGCTGAATGAGAGGCGTGGTGACGCTTCAGATCCAAACGTCACATTTCCACACTGTTCCTCTGAAAGCCAGGTTGCATCCTGGGAGAGACTTCATCTTAAAGGCCACCAAACAGGGTTACTGACTCTCAGGCTGACAAAGAAGCTGGAGGCAGTTTGGGGTTGTGACTTGTAATTTTTTTTTCTTTTTTTAGTATTTGAGGGTGAGTGTTTTGCTTTGATTTAGAGAGGGTCTCCTATATCCCAGGCCTGCAGCGTAATGAGTAGTTGAGGATGACCTTGATCTTCTAATCTCCTGCTCCCACTTCATGAGTACTGGAATTATTGGCATGTACAAACACATCAGTTTTATGTGGTGCTGGGGATTGAACCAGGGATTCAAGCGTACTCGGCAAGCACTCTGACAACTGAGCCATACCCCCAGCCCAAGAGCCCAGTTTCGATAGAAAGGTTTATTAAACCCACATTTGTTGATCGCACTATAAGGTTATTCGTGTTACACAGGTTTTATTACTGCCTCTGTGTGTGTATACACGCGTTTGCAGACATGTGTGCTGATACAGTTGTTGTCTACAAATATTCCATTCCACAAAACTCCCCCTTTGGAAGTTGCTGTGTTTTGTCTCGTGTGTGGTACTATACACATTTCTCCAGTTGTGAGCAACGACGTTTGATTAAAAGCTGTCAGATTTATCTTTTCAGCAGGAGGGAAGAAATATGTGTTTCCCTAGAAAGGAAATCAATATGTCCATGTGATAGATGTAGACTAGAAGGCTGGATACTGTCTCTTTAAATGATGAAACAGAAATGGCGGGGCAGCTCCCACCGTTGCCTGCTGACGTCATTGTTGTGTGAGGCAAAGCTCCTGTCTAAATCTTGTAATCTGTGTTTATAGGATAGACTTACAGTCACTGACCTAATAGCGATCATTCTAACTTGTTAAGTAACAGAGTCCTGCGTCCGAGGTGGCCATGCTTTGCTTTGTTTAAATTTCCTTAGCAGAATCTTTTAGACAGAACCCTGCACTGTTGCTCTCTGGTAGCCAAAGATGACTCTCCAGATTAGAGATAGGTGTCCGGTTTTCAAAGCTCCAGAAGTGGACTAGAGCTTTCTCAAGGTAAACCAAAGAGAAATCCTTGAAAGTAAGTCTCGGGCAATGCCAGACACAGATGAAGCAGGAAGCATCCTCGGGAAAGGATTGAAGGCTGCTTGGAACAAAACCTAACCAAAGGGCAACTCCCTGTTTGGACACCGTTGGTGTCCCATGGGATTCCCAGGGATGCAAACAGAGCTGTGCTGACTTGGGAAGGAAATGTCTGCCCTTGGTAAGGTTAGAAGATTCTTCACTCAGAGATGGTACACCCACAGACAAGTGTCCAGCTAAGACAGCTGAGAAAATCAGGGGTCACAGATATCTTCCCAGAAATTGTATGTGAGCCTCTGCGATTACCACTAGCAAAACTGTTCCAAAGACTTGCAAAGCAATGTCTGCAGCTGTAAGCTCATGAGATGACTTAAAAATGCCAGGATGTCTTGTCCCATGGGTGAAATCTGTCAGCATCTGAAGTGGCTATTTGTAGGCAATTTAAAGAATAATATTCTCTAAGTGAGCTTACATAATTCCCTTTAAATATGTTGTTTTCTACTCTTTGATCGATGATAGACTAGAAGACAGTCTATTGATGAAGGTACAAATGTCTGTCCCTATATTAACCCCCCCCCCCCGATTAAAACACTAAGTCACACTGTACTCACCGCACCTATGAAGGTCCTGTCACTTGCTTCTCATGTATCTCTCCTCCCTTTGGTTGCACCTACAAAGTGAAGAAATATAACGGTAAACATTTTTAAAGAATATTTCTCTCCATTTGTCAGCGTGCGCAAGGCCTGTGAAATCTCAAGCCAGACAAAAGCCCAGAATGAAGAGGGAAGGTGAGTGCACCCTCTCACCTCTAACTGAGGCGCTGTTGGCAACTGATAGCTACTGGGAGAGGAAGAGTAGGATTTCTTGAAGGGTGCGGTCCCCGGCAGGTCACCGATGCTGCTCCAGTGGGTGGACATACCTGGAAGAACACATAGACAGCAGAAATGGAACTGAGTGTTGGGGGGTTTTCTGTTGGTGGTGGTTTGTGTGTTTTTCATTGTGGGTAAGGAAGCAGGAGTGGATCTTAGAGGAACTGAAAGGCAAACATATTCAAAATATAGTGTATGAAATTCTGAAAACATTTTTTAACAGAAACGTTCTAAAAACCAGAAAAAACAATCTATCAATCCATAAGCACAAGGAACTACTGTCCTGGCCTAATGCTAGATTATTCCATCCCCCTCCCCCCACACCATATCTAATCTTTGACTCTTTCCACTTACCACCGTCTCCAAGCTACCAGAAACTTCAGTTTTAGCACCCACTAACCACCAACACCCATGTTACAACCGATCAGAAGACGTGCCCATTGCTTATACATTTAATGATTAGCTGTTATTACAACTATCGTGATTAGAATATATGCATTCATGCCAGTAATACACCTTATCTACTATTTCTGTTACATGCTTACATATTACATATATTGCTTTGTTTAGTTTGCTAATACGGTCACTTATTGCTTAATAACAAAAGATGTCCTTAAAAGTGTGTTGTTAGCAGAGAAGCTATACTGGTGCCTAACTAGAAGGTTCACCCCTACTGACTAACATTTACCATACTAGAAGGTACTCTGCATGCTACCAAAGGAGAAAGATCAGCTTTAATATGCCCCAGTTACAAACTCTGCTACCTACAACAGCGACCTGCCAGCAAGAGAAACTGGTGTAGTAGTGGTGCAAATGTTATGGAAGCAACCAACCACTTTCTGACCAGATTTAAGGCCCAACCCCATGATATGGAGCCCATGCCTGACACTGCGTGGGTGGCCAAGAACCTGAGACTACATCGATGATGGGCCTAGAGGAAAACCCAATACTATTATTCTGCTAAAGAACATAGCAATTAAATGGCTCCTAATGACATGTTGCTATACCTATAGATCAATGACTTTCTCAGCCCACGTCAGAGAAGCTTCTTCTTGCAGAAGCTAACACAGAGACTCACAACTGGACAATATGCAAAGAGTGAGAGACTTTGGAGTACTCCGTCCTATATGGGATGTCTCCATTGAAGCCCCTCCCTTAAAGGCTCAGAGAACTATGGAGAAAAGGCAGCAGAGAGATTGTGAGAGCCACAGGGGGTAGATGACTCCAAGGCAACAGTGTTCCTTCCCCATACAACAGGACTGATGCACATATGGACTCAGATATCATGGCAGCATGCATAAGGCCTGCTTAGGTTCAAGCTAGATGAGGTTCAGCACTGACAGGGAAGGTGGACACGGGCTCCCACTAAGGAACTATCTGCAACTGATAGCCTCTGCTCAAGGAAAAAATCCATTTTCTCCAGTGGAGTCTCACTGGGTACATTAACCACACCTTAGGGGAGGCACCTTTTCTAAGAGTAGTTATTTAACACAAAGTCTACCCTGGGTTATTGTTGTTTTTGTTGTTGTCGCGGGGCAGCTATTTTCCAATTTTCATTTCTTTGGGCATTTTTTGTCTTATTAGTCTTTGCTTGTTTATTTTGATTTTTTTTGGGGGGGGTCGGGATGGGGTGTGTTCCTTGAGTTTTGTTTTGGTTTTGTCTGGGTGTCTTTTATTTTTTAAGAGAAAGTAAGAAAATTAAGCTGCATAAGTAGGAGGTAGGGAAGATCTGAAAGGACTAGGGGAATGAAAAAACATGATCAAAATATATTGTATGAATTTTTTTCAATTAAAAGTAGATTGTTAGATGATATCTGCTCTTAGAAATCAGTGTAATTTTACAGTAACCCATTTTGGGGGGGGGGTGTTAAGGAATAAACTTAAACATATGACAAGATGTATAATCTAGTAAATGTCTTAACTAGCAACAGAGCTGTTTAGTGTCCATGTCCAAGTACTATGCCCAGTTCCTAACTGTATTGTTATACTTTGCACGCCTGGCAGCACAGGTTCACTTACAAGAACATTCCAGCAAACACATACGCAGTGCTTTGTACTACAATTCAAGGACAGCTAGGATGTCAATAGATGGTTGGAATTTTTCAGCTCCATTTTAACCTTAAAGGACCACAGTCATCTACCTGGTGTGACATCCTTGTGGGATATGTGACTGTCCTCTCTGTAGAGCTCTTTCTGAATTAGTCATCAAGTCTTGCACTGCACTTAGAGGCTGCATTCACAAGCAGTGTCGATGCCTTTTATTTTCTGATAAAGAAGAGTTTCTAGGACACTGGAAGTTTAAAAGACTCCAGCATCATCGGTGAAGTATCTCGGTCTGGTGCCTTTTCACTGAGAGACAAAGTAAATTCCCATCCAGTCTGAGCAGAGAGAGCTAAAGAGGTGACATGCATGTGTAGGGGCAGTCAGGATCAAGTAGTGACACAGCCCCTAGCTGGCATTCTAGTGTCCTTGATTGGAACTCTTCTGTTCTGAGGGGCATTTGTCCACTCTGGGACATGCCGTTGCAGGTCCAGTCCTGACAGGAGGAACCACAGCTCCATCCCTTTCCCTCTTGACAACAGATCCCTCAGAGGGAGCATGAGCCCCAGATAACCAGGCTCCAACCCCATTTCTGAAGTGGGCACCCATTCCACCTATGACCTTGAGGTACCAGCCCCTAGGGCGTGGCCTCGGGGCTACGTTAAGATTTGAGGGACACATAGGCCTCCATCTCTTCTGTCCCTTGTGGGCTTGGATGACGCAGACTGATTCAGGAGGCAGGAGAAGCTTGGGACTGGACATGAGCCTTCTAGGACTCTGTAACGATTCTGCCTTATCCTGTATAGTAAGTTGTTCCCCCCAGTTTACATTCTAATAAACTCCCTAACACTCCTTAAGCAGACTCCCTTGGATTGCTAGCTACACAATTGTGCCACTGACAAGCTGTGAGGTCTCAGGCAAGCTGTGGAGTTCTCTGGAGCTTTTAGTATTAATTGGGGTTTTTGGGTTTTTTATTATTAATTGTTATTTTATTATTAATGAAAGAAGATATTTGCCAGCAAACATTTATGTAACACAGTTTTGAATAGAGCCACAAGAGGTAGGTCAGATGGAGCATAGTAAAGACTAAATGGTTAATACAGGAATGTGCTTAGAAGCTCCTATTTGCCCTGTAGCTCATGCTATGCATCTGTGACCTGATGTTTAGCATTATTCTTGCAAATGTTGTATGCTGGATGCTGCTACCACCACCCTCCCCGTCATCCTCTTCATCTTCATGTGTTCTCTTGTATTGTGGCATTCTGTGGCACTTTTTCTCTGTGTGTTCCATCAAGTAACATTCTTCCATTTCTCAGACACAGTCATCTTGACATGTCTAATACGCTTGCCTCTCCCAGTGCCTCTGTTTACCCTCCTCTTCTCTGTCACGGTATCTTGCAGCCAGTTTAATGGGTACCAACTCTCCTCAGGCACACAATGTTCCAAGGACATTGCCAGACACTCCCACTTTCACATCACCTCAGGCCTAGGAGATTAGGACCAGTCCCAACCAAAAGGTTGATTGATCTTAAAATATCTGTCCACTCATCTCCAAAGCCAACATTTATTCTTATTAAACCAAACTTTTTAAATTATGCACCTCACCATCCAAAAATCTTTTATCTATGTCTCCTCAACACTGAACTGACTTGTTTGCAAAGGCCTATCACCTAACATTTAAAATGTTTATATAGCTTATGTATTAATATGTTATTCTCAGTTATAAACAGAACTGGATTTAAAATAAAAATATAGTGTGTGAACTTACTTTTAGCATCCAACACGCCTTCTTGAGAAACAGTACTTGAGTTTTGTACTCAAGCATATAAATCTAAATAGATCTGGTGATAAAGATATACTTAATGATATCTAAAGTGGAAAATGCTGGTTACTGGGGAATGTAGAGAATAGGACGTCATTCTTATGTTCCTGTAACTAGAGGCAAGAATTGTCATTGCAATGCTAGGCTCAGCCTATGCTAGCAAAGGTCTTCCTTGTGCACCCTGTTGGAAGTTTTGCCTGCAAGGCAATTATTGAAACGTCACAGGAAGAATGTTTACAGAGAAGCGGCACCATCTTAGTAGCATTTTAAAGGTTAAACCATCGTTCCGGCAACAGCGGTCGAGAATGCATCTAGTAAAGAAATGATGGTAGGTGTTGTCTCCATGTTCCAGCTTTCCTCCCTCAAATGACTAGGAAATAGGCTGGCATCATGGGATGGGGAAGGGAAAGCAGAGCCGGTCAGTAGCAAGCACTTAGCCCTGCACAGCGTAGGGATGGCTGTGATGAGGAGGAAAGGGGACACGCATCAGCTTGGCTGGCTTTAGGTCCTTGCCTTAACGACTGGACAGATTGTGGCACTATTTCCTAAAACAGGAAGTACAGGAGATAGAGGTGGGGGAGGAGGTTCTGTGCGACCCCTGTACAACTATTCAGTTTTATATTTGTAAGGTTTGTGCTCTGTGTAAGAAGCTTAGGAGGAAGTTTTACTTATTAGAATGCAAGAGCCAGAGAGATAGGGGCCTTGTTGGTTTTTTGTCTCCTAGCCAACTATAAACCCAAAGGATTCTGGATGAAGGTGTTTTTATATGAGTTTATGCATCTGAACTGAGGACTGTGTTCTAGACCTCTATGCAATGCCCTCTAGGATTTAGTGCCCAGAAAGTCTTGGATAGCCTTCAGTCTTTCTCGTGACCACGTTATTTCCAGAAATATGAATATTCTATTTCACACCAAAATAGGTGTGACTACAAAAATCCCATTAAGATCCTAATGCTATTATTCTTGTTTGTTAGCAAATACAAGCAAGGTAGATTGACTCAGAAAAGAGCAAAAACTGATAGAATTAATGTTCAAAGGGGTGGGATGAGTAGGACGAGTAAATTCACAACACTGGAGGGAACGTCTACCATACCGTCATTAGACACGGGGCTTTGAAATGCTTCGGATGTTGGAGCTCATCATTTTGGGGAAAACTGCAAACAATATCTCTATATGCATACACACACTC